TTATATATATATATATATATATATATATCAAAAAGTCAATCATTCAATCGATCATTCGATCAATCCAATGACTCCGGTTTGTCGTGCGGGGTTTCTGACATGTCATCAAGTTGGTCACTCAGTCGCTGCATTGGATGTGTGCCAGGCGGTCTGGCCGAAGGTCAATCTGTCAAGAAGTTCGTGAGTCTGTCTCTAAATCAGTTTTTTTTCCTGTGCAATCGGTGACAATGCAAGTCACTGAGTCTATCATCCGATGACTGTTTGCTGATTACAGTACCGGACGTTGTTTTTTAGCGATTTGGCAGTTCATCCATTTCGAGATTGTGTTTCCGGCATTGCACCATCCACCACGCACCACACGCACGTCGCGGGAGAGGGTCGGTCATCTGTCATGGATGACGCACCAGCCAGTTGCACGCCTGATGACGGCAGGTCTGCAGAACGGCCATCCACTTGGCCCGCGCGTGGCAACGCCACGCCGGTGTCACCGCATGCCGTACAACGCGGTTTGTTGGGAGTTTCCCCTTATGGCAGCCCGGATGACATCCGATCAACAAAGAGGCCTCGTGTTCACTCTCTTTCGCCTAATATCGTCGTCACTCCCGGCGTTGCAGTTGTGCATTCTCCGTTGCCGCCCTTGTTGCCGTCTCCAGCGCGTCGTCCATACACTCCGGTACACCCTTTGTCGGATTTCGATGCATTGTGTTTTCCTGTGTTGTCGCCGCCGTTGCAACCTCGCCGTTTGCAGTTTCCGTCGTGTGCTGCGCAGGCATTTCCTCCTCCTCCACTTTTCGTTGGACGCGACGGGTTGGACTCCATCCCCCTGGAGGGGTGTTCTCAATCATCAGGAGCGGTGTTTGGAAGTGGAGGGTCCACATTGCGTGACGGAGGACGTCGGAGTGTAGAGCCGCAGGTCTCACATTCGTTCGTCGCATCAGGTCATGGGTAGGGGGGTGTATTAGATGATGCACGCCGTGCCTCTGCCAGGGACACACATGACCGTAATTCCGCCCGTCGCTCTCTCGTCTCCCGGTTCGACGAGGATGACATTGTGTGTGGTAGCGGAGATGGGCCCGGCCGTTGCGATCCTGGCCCTCAAAATCTTGGTGCGGGTCGTTCTGAACACTCGGGCGGGTCCTTGGGGCAATTCGGTTCGCAGTCAACTGGTTCCACGAAGTACTCTCGTTTGTTCCTGAGTACCGCTTGCAAGGAGAGACTGCGCCTCTTACAATCTGCGATGAAAGAAGTGAGCGACAAGTCTGGGGTCATGGGCGATGTCGTCGACCGACTGTTGCATTGGTCATTGCCAGCCATCCGGTCAGAATTCGGGGATGGTGTGGCGTCGAGGATCGAGAGAACACTACCAGTCGGCAGTCGTGCAGATGTGTTTCGTCTCGGAGCAGGAGGGGATGATTCGATAGCGGACGCTGAGGATGATGGCGAGCATGAGGGTGAAGGGAGCGGTCGAGGCAATGGCGGGTCATTTTGTGGGTCGGATGATTCAGTACCGCGTTCAGGGCACGGGTCACAGCGTGGCCGCAGATCGCGCGGGCGGCCACCAAGCCGTGGCAGGTCGCGTTCGCGTTTCGAACATGTACGTCCTTTGTGCTGGGACGATTCGAGGGATGGTGCTTTGCAAAGCGGACCTTGCAATAATCGTTCTAAAGATGTGTTGAAATCGATGGGGCACTGGGGAAGCTCGAAAGCGCCTGATGTCATCTTAGTGGAGCCGGTGAAGCTGCTGCAGTTGCTCGGGTTGTTCGATTTGAGTTGCCCGCGCCACGGGGGCGCTTGTGCTGTGGATGTGT